ATATATATATTCAAAATCAATGGTTGGAAGAGCTGACAAAAATGCAATGCATACTCCAGCGTTTCACGATAATTAGAAACGATTTACAAACTAAAATTAAATTTTCATGATTTTGTGTTTTTGTGTACCGTTTTTGATTTGTATGTTAACAGATAACATTGGTCATATGGATCAATTTGTAATCATCGGAGCTGATCGTTCGAATAAATTTCATACTTTCTTTCTTTCTTCTTTCTTCCCTCTGTCTTTTAATTATATTCAAGAGAGAAGCCCCACTCTGCGAAGCTGATTTTCAGGGAAGTCATAATCACAAAGTACAAGTTACCCAAAGATACACAAAGCATTAGCAAACAGCAAGAACAATACATTCATAGAAAAAGCTTTTAACGTACATGACGCCAAAATAGGCCTAAGTATCTGTTAGTATGTTTCATGTTTACCGTTACATGTTTATAAGCCAACTGAGATAATTCTGTTCTATAACTAATATAGTAAAATGTAAAGCTTTGCCGAGCCGCTGGGGCCCATATGGCTGTGGAGCTTATCCCCATTTTCAAGTACGTGAAGCAGATGAGAGTGAGATGCTCCTTCTGGGTGGGACGCTAGTGCACCGCAGGTTACTCCCAGCAATTTACTGGTACTCATTTTATACAGCTGGGTAGACGAAAGCAATGTAGATAAAGCGCCTTCCTCAAGGGCACAAGCGAAATACACAGCGAATGATTGAAACCCCGACCTTGAGGTTGGGAAACCAAACCGTTTCCAGTGCTCATTAATTAATATAGTGCTACAATTAATTGTTTGATATTATCTCCAGGTTCTATATCGAAAAAAGAGGGGGGGGGAACCGTTTGAATTCTGCAGATATCAAGGAATTAAATACACTAACAAATATATATGCCAAACACATGAGAAAAATTTAAACTGTGAAATAGTTGAATGTATAAGAAATCAATAATAAATTGGAAAGTAACCAAATGGAATGAGAAGGTAATTGAAAGAAAATAAATAAATAAATAAATAAAACTAAAATAAAATAAATTAATTAATAAATAAAATAAATTAAAATAAATATTCATTCATAATGTTAACCTGATTTCCCTCACTGTTGTAATCATTTTTCTTTTATTTTGATCCGGTTTTTCCTTTCATTGTAAAGCGCTTAGAGGTTTCTTGCATTTTGCGCAATATAAGAATAAATTTATTATTATTATTACTATATATATGGGCATTATATAATCGATGTCTGTACCTTTCGCAACTACATATGTACGGACAAGTAACGTCGAAACCCGAGCTATTGACTTAGAGGACAGAGGGACTATATGTCTTTCCGTCGAATATACTATTTGAATGTAAATATTTCCAATGCAATCGATATTTGTCTAAAATGGAGATAATAGATAATAAAAAATACAGATGCTTAGAAAAGGAACGTGACATTAATAATGTGAACACCTGGTTTACCGGAACTATATATTTTGTTCAGTAATTAATCATCTATAATATCCAACAAGCACTATCGATTATTATCAACTGCAATTCACATGCTTTCTAAATTAATAATTTTATGAAAATCAATAACAATATATACAAGCAATACAATCCGTCATTGTAGCAATAATCGTAATAACTACCTGCAACACAATATAATAAATATTTATACATCATTGAAAACAAAATTAATTCCATTTATTATTGTTTATTTTTCAGACCCTGAAAATCCAGTAACCGTCTTGGTACCTGGACAGCTGATAAATGTCACCTGGCACTTGGCGTATGCACATCGCGTAAGGCAGATTCCAATTGATTTATTTCACTTTTTAAATTATCGAGATAATTATATTTAAAATATATATTGATGCAAATAATTCCTTCAAATTGCTAGTACATAATGTATTTAATTATTTTCTGTATCGAACGAATGTATACATTATAAAAATAGCCCTATCCGGTGCATTTGAAACCTGCTTCAAGCCTTTCTTTAATCAAGATTGATTTTTTATTTATTTGATCTCGTTAGGCCATAGCGGTTTGTTATTTGTGTCGTTATATTTACGGGATTTCTAATCGTCATGTTTTGCTCACATTATTACTTTTGATAACTTTTATTAACTTAAAGTTATTTATTAACTTTTACACATTAGTTATAGTAAGTTATTATTTATTTATTTACAAGGTGATTGACTAATAAAAGAACTGAAAAAATAATAATGTTACAATACCTAGTAACCCCTAATAAACTTCATTAACCACAATCAGTTCATTCATTCGATTCATTCGACTACTCACAAATCATTGTAATACTCGCAGCTAATGCATACTGATTTATAAATAAAGCAATTATACTCAAGTAATTTCATAAACTATAGGAAATAGAAGCCTTAGAAGCCATTATTTTCTTCGACAATTGCCTTCAGCCTCGCAAGATTCAGGCATTTTTTTCAGGAAATAATGGCTCCTGGTGATGGGGGTAAAGTACCTCCCTAACGAACTGGGGCGCCACTCCTGCTATACATTAAGACTAAATATTGAATCCCAACACGATGGCGTGTATTTCAATACTTGGAGTATGTATTATACTTTCTTAAGACTTCAATAGTACAAAATGTAAGTAATGTAATATGAAGACATTAATGCTAAGCCTTAGGCAGTTTTAACCAGAATGAGAAATGCATTTGAAGTATGTTGTATCCTGCATACAGTATACATCATTATACATTTAATACGAGAAGTTTTGCAATCTGTAGCAAATTTCTAATCATTAATATTCTACTGCACTAAACTCTTCAGTGGTCTCCCGCTAATTGAGGAGTTTTAAGAATTCAATTTCTTGATACAATGAACAAGTCATCGCCATGACTACCAGTGTGTTTACAAAATACAATGCATTATCAATGATATTATTGTATTGAATATTATCTTCTGCATCCTTATAAACGCATAGCATATGCGAATACAGTACTGTATAATATTTCCTTCATGTCAATATTAAATTAGGCCTATTCTTTCAAAATAGAATATAAACAGAACCGACACGCTACAAAATCAAACAGGGGCAGCTTAATTGGATACTCATTACTATGACAACAACATTAATAATAATAATAATAATAATAATAATAATAATAATAGTAATAATAATATTAATAATAAAATCACAGTGATTTGCTGATAATTATTTAATTATATAATATGTACAAATATAAAAATATTAAATTTGATTTGAATTAATCTTCACAATAATATTTGCAATTTAAAAATTATATTATTTACAAATATGATATTGTTATTTATTAATTATAAATTTATGTCAACATAATTTGTTGTCTTCTTTATTCAGTTAACAGTAGTTAGAACTTGTTACGCAATAAGTCTCTTTGTCTATCGTAAAGTCAAAACGGTTTAAGTTAAATATTAGAAAAGTATGACTTTAGTAGTATAGCAGGCTATAAGCAGTATTATTGTTTATTTACCTGACCTTTGATGAGGCCATACACACTTGAAACTAAGAGACGGCTTTTTGATTTAATATGTACTGTATGCTAGTGATCCCGTATACATACATTAAATAACAATAAAACGGTGTAGAGTGTATTCTCCTGTTATTATTGCTATTCGATTTAATTCTATACTCGGAAATTTATTTATATTATTGCATTATACAAATTGGGCTTAGAAGCTTTGTCGTAGGCTTACATAACATGTTGTTGTTGTTGTTGTTGTTTTTGTTGTGACTTTTTTACTTTTTTTGCAGTTATTTTTTTAGCATTCAATTATTTTTGCTGTATTTTAATGTATACATTCTTATATACTCTTTTATATGCACCACAACGCCAGTGCCATAGGTATAAGAGCGTATAAACAATAAAAATTATTATCATAATTATTCAATTCCAAATCAAATAATGCGTAAATTACCTGACATATTCATCTTAATACTACAGTAGTTTCTAAATGGTTTGTCCAAATACGCTTAACCAGGGTAAGCATATGCCTATACAATGCCTTATATTCTAAAGGTACTTAAGAAAATCTAAGTAGGAGTTGAGAGGATAGCTACAATAATAGATGTACAGTATACTAGTTAATTAAAAGGTCATACCGGCAGCTGTACCAGGATCCGTTTTAAAGGATATCGACTAAAATCTTACCAGTACTCATTAAACAATTCAATCCAGGCACTTGTTTAGACGGTTTTTCTTTGTTTTTTTTGTCGAAATGGACAGACATTTCAGGAGCGTATCCAAAATTGCCTTTGAAGCGTGGGGAAATGTGTGGAGGTGTGGAGGTATGCAAAATATACATAGGCCTATTTGGGTAGAATATCCGGCATCGTCAAAGGGACAGAGCCACTTGGATCGAGCTTCGACATAGTAGGGGTTCAATTCAATTTATTCTTTAAAGAAATGTTAAAATAGCAATAAAATACATAATATAATAAAAAATATGAAATGGACAACCATAAAAAGAGAAAAAAAAACTTGTACAAACGTGGTGTCCAATACTATTAAAAAAGTTAAATAAAATATGTTTAAAATTAAAAAGCATTCAATAATATAATTAAAATATTTCAGATTAGGATAAAATACGAAGATGTATACAATTCAAAATAAAAAATTAAAAAGAAGAGATACCAAGTTCTCGACAGGGTAAGGCAATATTATTGCGAAATATATACACATAATAAAAGCATAGAAAAAAGGAAATAGGAAGTTTGTTTTAAATATAATCACTGAGTAAATTTATTTTATAAAATTGTTTAAAAACGTGAATTGAACGTGATTTTAAGTCATTATTAATGTTGTTCCAGATACGAGGCCATGAAACAACAACACTGTGACTCATGCATGTAAGTCTACGAAATGGGGGCCTATGTTTATCTTTGCTCCTAGTATTATAAGTATGGACATTACCATCAGAGAAGTTTCTAAGATTTAATAGGCGTAAGTCAGGATTGTTCATCATTCGGTACACGAAAACACCGATTTGATAATTATGAATAATATCTTTGATTCTAAAAAGAATACATCTGTGGAAAAGAGGGCCGGTTGGTGCGCGATATTCAGACCACGTAATCACACGTAGGCCTATTGCTTTTTTCTGAAGTTTGATCAATCTATCGATATAATCAGGAAAGTATTAAACCAAATAGTATTACAGTAGCAAACAAGAGGTTCAACAAGCGATCTATAAATGGAGAGAAGTGACTTGAGAGGAAGATAGTGGCGAAGTTTATAAAATAGACTACCGGTAACATAATTAGATAATTTGGTAGCTGTTAAATTAATATGCGATTTAAATGAAACAATTTCATCAATATAAACTCCTAGAAACTTCGAAACAGTTGTTCGGATTATGGGTTTATTAGCAATTTTAATAGAAATATGATCAACGTGGAGAGAGCTTTTTTTTTAGTTCTAAAAACAATAAAGTTAGTATTTTCAACATTCAAAGAAAGTTTATTGCACTTTAGCCACGTGTCAACTTTGGTAAGCTAGTAATTTAAAATGTTGATAAGAGTGTTAATATCAGGGTTGGATAAAAACAAATTTTTGTCATCCGAGAATAAAATCATGCTTAAAATTCTAGAAGAATTAAAAATATCGCTAATATACAGAATAAAAAGAATTGGTCCGAGTCGAGTATTCCTGTGCCTTTATGAAGTAATCACATACACTGTTTACCTTCTATTATATTTTCATTGTTGATAATATAAAATTAATGTTCCCTCCAATCGACTCTGGACCGAGAAGGACCTCGGTAAGGGTCAGGGTGGTTCACCCTCGGGAAGCACTGATTTAGTCAATAAGCTGAAAATTAAATTATTGATTTTGACACGTGAACCACCATTTCTCAACTACTATTCTAGAAAATTGAGATCTTAATGCACATCTCCATTTCTTTACTCAACATTTTACAAACTCATGCGCTTATTTTGACAGATCGATTTTTAACTTATGCCACTACCTAGTGACCGCTTGACTAACGTACTAACTGACAAGCTGATTAACCCACCGACAAACTCATTAAATGATTTAATGATTAAAATACTAAACATTTTTATTTGTTGACCAATTCCAAGCAGGCCTATTGAATATTTTGGCTGGGCCCATGGGTACCCGTGGCAGCCCTAGTACAGCAGCAGTACCGGTACCGACAGTCCACGAACTCGGCTCAGTGAATGATTAGTTGGTTGATTTATTATAACTGGAATATCTAAAATAAACATTTAAAGGTGAAACCACATAATTTGGTTGTTGTCATATTATATGCTGTTATACCGATGTTATGAATGGTATTATCAATGCATCAATTGAATAAACGTATGGTTCAAGGTTGAATATAAGTTATAAGTTTCATGGTGAATTGGTTCTTTTATTACTGTTGTCAAACTGTAAAGTATAATCGATGAAGGTGTTTATATAATAGTTATTTTACTGTCAGAGAATATTTCTTAGCGTACTTGCCCCTGTTATTTATTCCTAAATACTACTGATCCATGAAGTGTCTGACTCCTGTTTACCGCTTTCTGGTATGGATTAGCAACAACGTTCTTTTGTTTTCTTTGTTATTTTAGACGTATAAGATTATCAAAAATAATAATAATGATTATTAAAATGACAATAACAATGATAGTCAATAATTCGAATACGATTATGGGAATTGCAAGCTAAAGGTATTAATAATACGGATGATAATGTGTATGTATATCAATGCGAATGAAAATGATAATGCTAATGATACTGAGGATGGGCGTGAGGACGACAATGTAAAAAGGGAGGACACGTGAGGAGATGGCATAAAGTAGCTTGATGATGATGGGTGGTGGTGACTCGGCTTGATGATAATGACTGCAACTGTACTTTAACTGATGCTTTATATTTTTCTACTAGGGTGGATATTATATTGAACTTATGCAAGATGATGTAGTTTACAACCTGACTGAACCTGGCGGTGAATTCATCTCAGGAGACGATGCAACGTAAATGTTTTTTTGGTTTTTTTTGTATTTTTTTTTTTTATGGCACTTCTCTTTAATGAGAATCTTGCTTAAATTTAATTAATCATTTAAAGTTTTAGACACGTAAGGCTAAAGGTACCTTAATAGCGAACTTAATCACTTTACAAGTGGCAATCTACAATTAGTATCATTAACGATCGAAAATCCTGTTACCTTTACACTAACTCTAACAAAGACCCTGGGAATGGAAAGCTAATATCTTTAATTACCAAGCTACAGCTCCACTCAGAATTTCTATTATGTCTGAATAATTGAGTAAATCAATGTTTTATACTTATATAGGAGTAGGCCTATATAAACTACCATTTCAAATATTTCTTTTCGGTTTTTCTTAAATTAAATTGAGAGGTGTTATCAAAATTTGTACTAATTTTTATTTTCAGAAAGCTTGAGCAAACTGTGAAGATTCCTGAAGAGGCAATAGGAAATTCAACGCTTCGTATTGTCCGACAGGCAGCTGAATGGTCAACTGGTAACCCCAACGTACCCTACCTATTCTGGGCCTGCGCAGACCTTCTGATTGACGGTATGACAACGGAACTCTTATTAATTTTTGTTCTTACTATTAAAAAGATTAAAAAAACAAGAGCATTTTAGGGTCCTTGTATAAAAATACTAACATCTAGGCAATACCAGTGCTTCAAAAGACAAGAACGGTAAGTAGACCACGATTAATTTCAAGCTTATCATACTCCTCCCCCTGTCATTGAAGTTTAATTTTAAATACACCAAAGATGACACAAGTAGTTCTGTATTTGTTTTTCTACCTTTTTTAGCAAGGGCTAATTGTAACCGAATTGGAGATGACACCCCTTGTTCAGGACGCGGTACTTGTAATGAGCAAAACACCTGTGATTGTGATCGATTATCTTTCGGAGAATATTGTCAATACGAAGGTATGCATTATGGTCATTACTTGAAAGTTTAAAATTATTTTACAATTATATATATATATATATATATATATATATATATATATATAGGTCTATGTATATATATATAGGCCTATGTATATATATATATATATATATATAATATATATATATTTTTTTCACTGCTAGTTTTGACAGAGAAACGATTAAATTCTTTGTTGCATATGTCTCTTTAATCTGACAAGTATCTAGGATACGAAGCCAACCTTGAATGCATTATAGACTTTGTATAGTATTTCAATCGAAATACAAGTACTAATCACATATCAGATGTGGTGTGATAACCCTGATCATTGATCACCTTAAATTCGCACTTGAGCATACTCATTGGGCGTTTTGAACATTTATTAGACTCTCATCCAGTTTTATATTGCTGGGATATTTTACTTTTTTCAACTGTCCTCCAGAAGCACTCTAATGATAAAGCTGCTGAGTCCTCTCCTTAATTAACTTTCATTACGTCAAATGGGTGTGGTTAAGTGACTGTAAGTCTCTGATGTATTTAAGAGATGGATGCGATTCCATGTGCGTTTAGTGGCCGGGGATGTTAATCGGCATTTTTTTTTCCAGGACCACTGGCCGAACTGGGGCCTTTAAGGAGCAGAACGTGTAAAATACATAAATATACACAATTAAACGTCACAAACGCAAGAGCGTACGGCAAATATGTGCCTCGTTCTCATTGGCGCGCTACGCACTTCCCAGCCCTTGGTAGTGGTGCCCAGATGTTACAACACTATTTTTAAATAGCTCTTAAAGCAGCTTTTCTGTTCTATTTTCTACTGCAAGCATTTTATTGTAAGTGAGAAAGCGTAGGCATATTTATCTAATTATCTAATTTATATTATTTTTTTGAGTTACCATGATTGTAGCAAAATGTGTTTTATTTCATCTTTAAGTATTACTGTACGCACAACATGCGAGATTTATAGAGATGACACGGCTTGTGCACCTCCTTTTTGTACTTTTCTGTGTTTTTATCCTTGAATGTTTTTACTTATAGTTACTTCAGAATGAATGAATAAATAAAATAAAAATAAAATAAGGGTGACTTCCATTTCAAATATTATATTTTTTACACATTTTTTTTAATTTGGAGAGGGTCAGGAAACCTCGCCCCCGCTCTGGCTGCGCCTCTGCTGACATGTTAAATTTTCTTGCGGAGTCGTTCAAAAAATCACCGTGATAATGGGCCTTTCCAATAAGCCCCGCCCCTGGGATAATTTTGCTAGGTTCCACAAGATGACAGTGTTGAAACATACGCGAACATGTGCGTTTGTGGGACAAAACATGTGTTTGTGAGATGCGTGCGTATTCCTACCGCTGTTCTGATTAGTCAGTTTTGTTACGTTTTGACACTCCGGAAAAGTGCATTTGCCCACTGCCGTCTGTCGAACCAATGTTAGGCTGTTCTCTAAAGATTCAAATCATATTCGTGTTCGGTTTATGGCATTTTCTTCCAAAATAATTATCCAACATATTGAGTCATTGATCCTCAACCTCTTCAGCTGACTACATTTCTGTACTCATTCACTTTGGCCGACATTATTCCATTTGATTTACGTCATAAATATTCAACTGCATGTTCCTCCTCTAAAATAACTAAATCCTCTGGCCATCCCTTAAAATGGTTTCTTCTTTGTTACCTTGATAACCACCAAAGGCGATGTGTACAGTAAAGGACAAGACTTCCATTACGTCACGTTATGCAATTCTGGCATTGGACTTTCCTGCCAGTGTGTGCTGTGACTTCTCGATTCCGCTCTTCATTCTGTAGGCTGCAACCGAACGTAAAAACTAATATTTTTATTGTATCATATATCAGATGACTGCGGGAACCAGGCCGACTGCAACGATCACGGACAATGCCATGACCTTTTGTCAACGTCATATCCTAAAAGGCAGTGCTTTTGTGAAGCCGGATTCTTTGGAAGAAACTGTGAAAATGGTTGGTAATAACTAACATTGATAATAATAATAATTATTATTATAATTCTTCATCCTTGAATGGCATATTATGTTAATTGTATTTTGTGTTTTATTATACAGAAATACTGTAATGCATTTAAGATAACTGTTACTCTTTTAGAAAACCCAGCCGATTTTACTGTAAACATCAACAAACAGGAATTCTTCAAACGGAACATAAACTCCGAAATAAAGCTATTTTATCGAGTCCTTAAGGTACGTCAAACCACTCTTGTTAGTGATATCAGAATTGTTAATATAGATCTACGGTATAGTATAAAATTATAAATGGGATTTTCGGAGTCGATGGTGCACATTAACAATCACACCAGCGGAACGGAATAATATAACGTTCTGTCAATACAATACAATACAAGGCACCCGTTTACTTCATAAAATTGTAAGACATTCTGGATAATTAATTCTTAAGGAATGCTCGACTTTACATGGAACAAGATAGATCTCTTTAATCAAGTTATTTTTGGCCGATTTGTTTCTTAAGATATCTTTAAATTTAACAAGGCTTTAATAAGTAGATTAGGAGAAAACGAATTTAGGATATCAATTTTAAATTAGTCTAATCTTAATGGTGTATCATTAGCCTCTAAAATAACAACGAGTCTTTACCTCTGGTATTCTAGTGTAGCCCCAATAAAACAGTCGATGAAATAGTGACCCTACATTGGCAGCTCTAAAGGTAGTTGCCTTTTCTTCCATAACCTTAAAATGTTACAACTTTTACAGATTACACAGTAAGACAGTTTACAGATGTTCAAACCCATATATTATTGACTTGCTGTATTTTACTCGGTATAATATTAAAAGTACTTTTTAAGAACTACTTTCATTCCTCCCACTTCTATTCCTCACATAATCAAAACAACTTCTATTGTTAAACGAATCCAATACAAACTAAGCTACTGAGCGTATAAATACCCTGAGCATCTAACTATTAAACCCTTCCTTAAGTTTCGCTTACTCATTGTAATAATTATCAGAAGAATGCTACACGACAAAGGCGAGATTTTAATACCCATTATTAAGTATTCCAAATCATTCCCGAGGCTTCATATATCATAATACAAGTATATTTTAGGAAAAACTAAGTTTATTTTAATTAATAACACATTTTTAATTTGTAAACAGATTGTAAGTAAAATTATTTCAGATTTAGGTTCAATTTAATAGTCCATTTATTCGGCATTAAAACTACTATTGCAATACAGGCGTATAACAATGATTTTCTAGTAGACAAACATAATTATCAGTTTTGAAATTTGGCTCTTCGGTGCCATCATCGGCGGTATTTTTCATTATGATATCGAACGGTGGACAGTAAAAAAAACCATCGAACACAAAATTGACGTGTGTTCAAAAGAAAATTTCTACATAAGATATTCCACTTAGAATGGTATGACGAGGTGAAAAATGAAGATTTATACACCATGGCTAAACAAGAGAAATGGAGTCGAAAAATTAAACTGAGAAGGCTTATGACATCTCATTAGTTTACCAGATGACAAACCAGCGAAAATAGCTTTAAAAGAAAGTCAAAGAACTGTATAAAAAACACAAGGATTAATTATATTAGATCAGAACTGACCGGTTACGTCAATTCTGACATCACTCGAAAGCACCCTGCTCATCTCATAAAAAACTTTATGGAAAAGTAGTAGAGAGCGCGATGTCAAAAGACATGGTGGGTAAATGATGATTACGATCTTAGTTTAGGTTGAGATTAAATGTAGAGTTTATAATATTCGGTATTACACAATGTTATCATAGAATGTACTTTTATTGATTGATTTATACCGCTGCGCTTTTTATAATCAAAAACGTTGAAGTATGAACACTTTTTTTGGTATTTGTAGACAGATGGCTCAAATAAGGTGTTTAATTTTTATGACCAACATTAAAAACATCAGAAAGGCTTTTACAACGTATTAACCCTGTCGAAATCCTAAATGTTGAATACCACAAAACCAGTTTCCTTTCTAACTAATAGTAGGCCCACACATTTAAGTTTGTAACCGATTTGTTGGAGTTTAAATTTCAATTGTTTAAAATACTAAAATGCAGAAGGATAATGGCACAGCCACTAACCAAGGTCCAGGTGTACGAATAAAAACAATCTTTATGTGACAATAAGATAAAAGGAGCATAGATATGTAATTGAAAAAATTTTCATAAGAAATGGCAACGAAAATTTGTTAAGAACAAGTTATTATTATACAGACATGAGATAGCTTACATTGATCGTTTGGATCAGTTAATATTGTTAGATCCTATAGATAATCCAAAATAAAACTAACAAAACAAAACTAAAATATAATCGATTAGAATATCTCCTACTTCCGATTAAATGACAGTTTGTCTCGCTATAAGAAACGGCCTCTTAAAAACATGTCTCAGTTTCCTTGCATATATTACAATTGGCTGCTTTGTTGAAATATTTAGTCCAGTATTGTCTGTTTAATCACAATGCTTAGTCTGGGTATTATTGTTGTAGGTCAAGTGTTCTCATTACTCTATTCAGCTACTATCTAACTCAATGAATATACCTTTGATGGCTGTTGGTCAACGGGGTCATGATCGACACATCAGAAGTACTTCAGCTTTGTAGATGATGTCATGTGAATGGCTATAATAAATGATATTAAGAATGTCGTGATACCGACGATGATTTTGTTAATGTGAAGGTGATGACATAAACACATATTACTATACCAATTCAAGAAAGGAATTGATCACCAAATTAACACGTTGTCATACTGCAAATAGATTTCTCTTTAAAGGTTTACCTTGAAAAAAAAACTGAGACAATTTGTTAGTGCATTATTCTGGAATAAAAGATATTATTCTTATTTTGGTTATGCTTGTAGTTACTGCAATCAGCAAGATTCTTCGAGTTACATTACCCTGTGTGTTTTTTCTTATATTAGGACAGAGAGGAAATTGAAATTGCCATCGAGGCCACGACAAATACCTGGCTAGGAATTGGCTGGAGACCGGCTGGCCTGACTAGCACATGTCAAAGTAACTATGATGATGACTGGTCTGAAAACGAGCCAGAGAGCGAACCTGAGTCCGAGCCTGAGGCAGAACACGATGCAGATTCAACAACAGTAAGTCCTGTAATGTTTCTAAAGTTCAGTTCCACTTACTAATGCCTGTAAAATATAGATGACAGTCCTCTCTAACTTGTATATGTACTGGGTCTCATACTGTTTTTATGTTGTCTTTGACTGAGTGAGATTTTATCTTGAACATGTTTATAGTATATAAAGAATTTTGTTAATTTGAAACATTGTGGTTTTGCTAATATTGTCTTTCATTTTGTTATTAACTTATTTGGTGTTCTGTAATAAGACTATATTTCCAGATTTAGTACATGACTATTCAAAAAGAGAAAGTGTCTGGAGTTATATCTGCGCCTGTACCTTATACGTCTTTGTGGTCTCAATATATGGAACTCACCTTGTTAGCGAGAGGCTGTAGGCTCAAATCCCACCAGAGACATTTTTATTCACACGATTGGAAAAGCCCTTTTGGTAGAACGTCTACTATGTTTGATATGATTACATAATTATATGTTCCTAACTGAAACATAAAAACTAGTTTCTAGCTTAATCATGTCTCCATTTTGCACGAGTGTAAAAGTCAGTATGAGAGAAAGTGTCCAAATATTAGATCCTCTCTAATGGTATGACTCGAGCCTTGTTAGTGAGAGGCTGCAGGTTCGAATCGATACTGAAAAAGAAACTTTTCGTTGAAGACGAGTTATGCTTTATACGATTATCAATTACATTGGAGCACGCTGTCATCTGTTTATATTGTGATTGTATTTCTGCTACGCAGCAAAACTAATTCGAATATAAAGAAAAAGATTCGAACCCGGGTTATCGTGGTGTCTTTATAGACGCCTTAACTGGGCTACTGGAGCTTTTGTTAGAAGGTCAAATTCGATTTTAGGCGATTGATTTCATATTCTGCACAGTTTGCCGATACAACACTAATGTATGTATACTTATTAATTGTAGCCGAGTAACAGACGTCGACGTCAATCTGGTAATGATATTATCATAAGAGAAATGTATACAGCAGACACTAAGTGGTGTTCAACCGGCGAAGGGGGTCATGCCGAGCCTGAAGGAAATCCTGAACCAGAAGGAACTTCTGAGCCCGAACCCGAAGGAACTTCCGAGCCCGAACCCGAAGGAACTTCCGAGCCCGAACCCGAAGGAACTTCCGAGCCCGAACCAGAAGGCGAACCAGAAGGCGAACCCGAAGGCGAGTCACCTGGAGGTAACGTAGGCCCTACTGTATGTTCTTGATTTGTGATACTGCAACTCTGTTGTCCATATTATTCAAAAGTCAGAAATTAGAATTACAGAATTAGTGTCTGTAATTAACTTACCAACAACGAGTGTAATATTTTCAATCAATATCCTTTTCTTTCTTACAGGACCCCTTCATCCTATGGACTGTATGGATATGGTGATCGGTATGGCATATGGCTCGACTAGTAATATTGGCGATTATTACACACGTGACCGTTCTTCTCCACTCAGAGACAACCTATATGGTGGAATTGACCGTCTTGCCGCAGCAGGAGCCAAGGAGGTAGATGGAGTTACAACGATGGTATTCAGAAAGAAGTTAGAAGGTATACACTTTTGGATTGCTGTTTAAGATTTTGTTTGCTTAGCAAAACAGTGTTGGTAGCACTATTTTAAGTCACTTAATCATACACAGTGTGCAACCTCTTTTAAGCGGTGTGTAGTAATCTTAGTGATGTTTGACCTTCCAACAGAGTCAACAAGTGTATTGAATAATATAATTATTATTTAAAGATAGGGTCTGTGGTATATATTTACCTTTGGGTGGAAAAAGAGATGGATAAAAGAAACCTGAATTAAGTACACAATACGAAAAGGATAGCCGCAGTTTCAAATCTCTGCCAATGGTTTGACAATGTCCGACGATATACAGAATGAACCTGTTATAAATGATGTTACAACTTTGTATGACTCGGATAAAGTAAAGTAACTTACGTATTGAGACTGTGGCCTTGCTCATTGTAAACGATATTAGAGTGATGTTTCGATAGATCAATACGTAAGTTATTTTGCTGCTTCCGAGATAAACTTCTAAAATTTAATTATATATTTTGAAATCCTGGATAGATGAATTTCCATCAGTCCATAATCATGTCAAATGCGGAAAATAAATTGAAAAATATATTAGTTATAACAGTGCATTTTTGCTAAAATTTCTAATTGTGGGCAACCACATAGGCTATGATATGCAAAAAAAAGGCTACGGGAATTAACAAACATCATTGAGAAAATGAGAACGATCTAAATGACACAGGCTAAGGTTTGTTTTACAAGATACAAGATACAAGTCAACTTTATTGTCAGAATAATAAATTCTGAGATATTTGTTGTACATAAACATTGAATCGTTCATAAATGTGATAAATGTTTAAAAAAAATTATGTACAGGACCAGAACCTTCGGATCATAGCATACGGAATGCACCAATGAGCGTCATATGGGCTAGAGGTCAGGAATATGGAGAGTATATACATAGGCCGTCAAGTGGTATAGAGGTATGCACAGCATCTCTCCTGGACTTCTACCGGCAAGACGAACTGAAGTACCATGGAACGAGTAGCGAACAACGAGGGCTCATCCAAGATTTGAACTTTTATGGTAAATTATCGATGTCATTGCAATGCGCTTAGATGTCAGTTTATAATAATACATATAAGCCCACTTCTGACATTCTGTAAGTCATCAAGCGAGATTAGTTTATCTAGAAATAGACATTTTTTTGAAAATATTTGTTATATTTTACTTTTTTATGTTTGCTTTGTGTTTGAACAATAAAATTCAATTCAATTGAAAAAAACGAAAGATTATCTGAAATACGACCTTTGTGAAAGGTACGAACACACGACGGTAGTAGGCAAAATATGCCTATCCAGATAGGCCTATACATTTGTTTCTTAACATATTTTACGCGTTTCATGACGTAAGGCCTAAATTAATTTCATTCATTTAACAGTTGATCCTGAGGGTGGTGACACGTGTACCGGAATGGTGAGATACCCACCTGGCTGCCAAGGATCGTCGTGTGATTATATTGTCGATTGGAACTTTAGTGATACTACTGACATCAAGTTTTCAGTCAGAAGCAAGGTGGATGCAGACAATTGGTCCGGCATAGGCTTCTCTATATATATATATATATATATATATAACATAACATAACATAACATGATACTCCGGGTCTACGGTCGTATTTTGTTGTAGGCACCTCAAAATTCAAGACCATGAAAGGTATATAATTACTATGATATTGTTGCTACTTAAGTTTTGAAAACATACACTTACATTAAAATAGCAGAATAATCCCATCTTGTTTTTAATAATAATAGTTACAAATAGGAAGATAATTGATTACTTTGTTTGCATCATAGTATTAACAAAAGTTACGGTACCTTTTATAATATTTATTTAACTACCATAGCTTTTGCTGATTGTAATAGGCCCCATTATATTAATAAATGATGATGATAGGATGATGATGATAAGATTATGATGATGATGAAGATGATGATAAGATGATGAAGATGATGATAAGATGATGCTGATGCTGATAAGATAATGATACGATGATGCTGAAGATGATAAGGCGATGCTAATGCTGATAAGATGATAAGATGATGATGATGATGATAATTTGATGATGATAATAATAATAATTTGATGATGATAATAATAATTGATAATAATTTGATGATGATAATAATTTTGATGATAATGTTTTTTTTTAATGATAATAATAATTTTAAAGTTAATTACAATTTTAATAATAATAATAAAATAATAATACAATAACACAAAAATAACAATCCTACTTAGGTCGGATCCGATGCAGTACTTGGGTGGATGAATAACGGACAAGGCGTTATACAGCACTTTTTTCTTTGGTTATAAAGGAAACATGGTGTTAGCTGACAATCAACAGTATTACAATAACAGTATTACAATAATAATGATATTTTTTTAAAGATGATAATAATGATTTGATGATGGTGATAATAATAATTTTGATGATAATAATAATTATTTTAAAGTTAATAATAATAATAATAATAATAATAATAATAATAATAATAATAAAATAATAATACAATAACACAAAAATCAATCCTACTTAGGTCGGGTCCGATGCAGTGCTTGGGTGGATGAATAACGGACAAGGCGTTATACAGGACTTTTTCCTTGGTGATAAAGAAAACATGGTGTTAGCTGACGATCAACAGGATATCAGTGACTTAACTGTAACCTATGAGGACGACACATTAATTCTCGAGTTTACCAAGAGTGGAAACACCAACGATGACAAGGTAACGTGTTTCTTTTAATGTTCAACAAAAGAATTCATACAGAATCTGCTATAGATGCAATTATAGACAAGTCGAAGGTTGGGAAGGTGGAGTTTTTTGATGATCGTATTCTAGTTAAACGTATCTGAGGGTTATTTTTGATAACTGTCTGTTAAGGAGAAAATATAGATCACATTATAAAGAAACTAAATTTACGTATGTATTGTTTACGCAAACTGTACCTACTCATTCAATGTCAGTTGTCAAATTCTGCATGTTTTACTTATCAGTAATTGGTTTTGTCTGGTATTGCTCATTGACTTGGGAAGAAATGAAAATACATTAGATTCCTAATAGGATAGAATAGATAGGCTGGTGGGGAGGGTAGGGAGGATGGCTGAGTGTTACCCGTGCCACGAACAGTTGTGCAAGAAGTCATCCTCTTCATTCCGATATTGCCAATTGTTATATTTAAGGCGGTAGTAGACTGACGCCGCCACAGGGGTCTACAAATCTTCACTCCTTCATCCACATCATCATTTAGGCCTATTATTATTATTATTATTATTGTTGTTATTGTTATTGTTATTATTATTGTTATCATCATCATCATCATCATTATCGTCATCATCATCATCATCATCATCATTACCGTCATCATAATCATCATCGTCATCATCATCATAATGTTATTATCATATTATTATCTATCTCGGTTATTTGTCAAAATGATTTTATTACACAGTATTCACATTTCTATATATTTTATTAATTATATTTATAGAGGGTGACCCATTGTTTTATGTTCCTTTTTAAAGTTTGTTAGGTGTGTGTATTAAATAGATTACCTGGGTGAGAGGACAGTACGACATATTACATAGATAGATTACCATTATGATTTCGTCTCATAAAAACATATCCATTATATCTCTATTCCTAACAGGACATTCGTCTCTCTGGGGAATGCGTGTTTCTCCTTATGCCTGATGTCGGAGGCCCTGTCGTGGACGGCCAGCCTATGTATCATACACAGGCACCAAGATCCACGCCGGAAAAGTTCTGTTTCACAACTTGCAAAGGTAGGTATCGAGAGAAAAATCACCAGGCCTTCCAATTGCTAATGATTTTTTATTAGTCGATTTGTTAGTGACTGTTAGTTGATGACTGATTGTTGACTGGTTAATACTCTTAAGAAGAGTAAATGCCGTCTTTTGCTAGAGATCTTAAATCATGGTGTTTATACTATTATCATGGTGTATATGTTATTTAATTATATATATAAATATATTCTCTCGTATTTTTATCTTTTTTATGACTTCGTAAAATGTGAAGATTTTTTTTAAATTGGAATGGTTGTTTAATGTGAATGTTTTGTACTTTTATTATATTTTTTGTCAAAATTATACATGTCGTTTGATATGCTTTCACTTTATAAGAAATGCATTATTATTATTATTATTATATATATATATAAATCAAGATAGCCGTTAACACTGTTAAATTATATGTATATATATATGCCCATATACGGCACGCCTTCTTATATAATACATTATTTTTACATATTTTCTTTTTTTTTCCAGATCCGAACGCAAGTGTTTCAATCTACGCCACCACTTGGCTGACTTTATTTTTATCTTTATTCATTCTTATTTTATGTCTGTAAAGAGTAACAATTGAAGCTCAATGAACACAATTAGTTATATAAACCATTCTGTATATAATACACAAACTAAATGTCATTTTGACAGTTAAAACCGCATATTAGTCACAATATACCGTACCGGTACCTTACATATTATATTGTATTTAATGTTTTACGTTATTACGACTCACGTAGACTTTTTTTTTATAAGAACCAGTAAAATTTTGCACAGGCTCAGTATTTTTTATTTTTTGGCCGATTTCAGGCTCAAAATGTTCTTATTTTGTTCTTAGACACCTTTTAAACAAAAAAATTATTTAATTGTACGGCAGTAAGATAGATTGAGGCCTAAAATAATGATTGAACTGAAACATGACTTCGCACGTTTACGATAGTTACATCAAATTGTAAATGAGAGAAAATATTTATTTATAAGAAATGATTACATATTTTGATAAAATTAATAAGTTGGTATCTTTGCATTATTAAGATTTATTCTATATTTCCTGAATATCCACTTCACTATTTCAACTTTAGTATAGTATAGGCTACTTATTTAATTTCTTGAAATGTAGCGTCTAGCGTCGTTACAAAAGAAATTTGGTGGTCGATTTTTTTCGCAGCGTAACATAAAGCGAGACTCATTGACTCAAGTTATTATTCTAGAAATATGGAGAAAAGAAATTGTATTCATTTTATGTTAATACTCAAATGGAGAAAAATGTTCCCATTAATCTTTGAGCTACCGCTAATCCATACCGTTCTCTCTTAACAGTAACCTTTTACCCACATAATGGAGCTCGAGGTCTCCGTTTATATGACTGCGTTGCCAAAGGGCAAAAATGCCTGTCTGGGACCTTCGGATAGAATTTGCAGGCAATGTAACCCCTTTCCGAAAATATTCACGTGTTACTAAATACGCACAATTCTGGCAAATAGAACATAGTGGTAGAACGGTCAAGTAATTTACATCTCCTGCCCTCACCGGACCTCTGCCAACAAAAAGAGCTCTGAGAAGAACGCACATTATATCTTATCATAAGGGAGGATGCGCAAGTAGTGTCCATACTGTATTCTAAAATATTGCACATAACAATGTTTTTATTTATCACATACATTCCGATGATAGACTCGTGGTTTTGAACATGTATACAATACTAGTAGACCTATTTAAATATCCAGTGTTTACGATTAAAACGTTAAGTTTGGATTCCGTAAAAACGCTACAGGGTCACTCCAATGCAATCGGGAAGGCTCCCTATCCAACAGCGTCGACAGCAGTATACCAATTTTATGAAAACCAGACATGAATTAGGCTACTTATATATTTTTGTGTAATTTATAGATTCTAGGTTAAATTTTCTGTATTTATAGATGTCTTACAATTTATTAGAATATGAAAGAGTGTTTCGAAGGCATAAAAGTAGTTGGTTAAATCAATTGCTTTTCGGATGTAAATTATTCAATTGTTAAGATAAATTATAAGTTTTATAGATATAAATATATATTTTAGGGAAAAAAAGTTTATGAACTTACTAGTGGCATGTCAATATTGTGCTTTTCAAAAAGGTTTTGATAAATTTCTATGAATCGCTTATTGTAGAATAATGGCTACATATCGAAACATAGGCCTATTAATTATGCTATTGTCTCGCTATCATACCAGGATATTTCCGCTTAACCTAGCAGGATATTTTTTATAAGTTTTATGTGTCGGTTAACGGACACATACTACTTGTCAGTTAAGTTTTACACTCCGAAAAGTTCCTTTTTGTCCTTTGACCTACGTTTTTAGTCTTTAGAATGAATAAGTACTAATGATAATGCACATGTTTTTTTGTAAATTTATTAAGACCAATGTATTCAACTGACCAATACGGTACTGTAACATTGCATTGTTGCTTTAACGTTCTGTTTAGTAATTCTAATGGGGAAACGTTCAACTTCAATAATGGAAATTAATTAGGGTCATTGTTGGATTTTATATCCTAAAGTCCGGATAAATGGTTTGTCCATGAATGAAGTGGTGACCAAAGCTTGATAAAGCGATGTACTGCAAATTTGAAGGATGTATGGCCTTAATAAGCGACGGTCGAGTGTATGCCTCTGGATGGGAAATATCCGCCTAGTAGGCTATTGCACATAACCAATAATGTACCGTATGTATACTACGTAATAATTAATTCATACTACAGTACTAATTATTACAAGTTAACAGACACAGCTTCCAAGCTCAAATTAAACTGCTGCACTTAACTACGAGTGATGTAGTAAAATAAATCAAATGGCGATTGATACAACAATTTTTACTGAAAAGAGAAGCAATAAAGTTACAAACTTGAATAAGTCAGTGCCTTGAAAATGTCAATAAATACAAAGCGCACACATGTTTGTCTTCGTTTTATTAAAGGTACAGGCTACCAGTAAAATGATACATAATGCACTTTCAATATCACATTAATAACAAGGAATATTTTAAACTATATAATTTTACATCAAATATTGTATAAAAGCTTAAAAACCACACGTGAGGTGGTCATTTTAGGCCCTACCGTTTAAAATTTATTTCAGTGATTTTCTTTTTTAAACATGAAACAATACATGTTATATATAATTTAAGATATAAATTTCAAACTATGAAACTATGGCTAAGAAGCAAGTTGTCCAAACGTCTGGTTTCTTTTGTTTTTAAATAAATTGAAAATTTACAGTAACAGAAAGAATACTTCATGATACAATAAATAATAAAACTGTGGACCACAATATGCTGTATATACATTAGATATAGGCCTGAGTTCTTTAACGTTAGTGAAGAGGAACCTGCAAGTTATGCCAATCGAGATACGAGGCCAGATCTTATGATGTTGGGAATTCAAAACCGATTAAAGCATCCAATGTGGTTGGGTGTGAAGAGTTTCATTTTTATCATAACACCAATGACCATTTGATGACGTCTGCAGACAGCAGAATGCCAGAACTCGAGTTGGAGCAAGTGCAAGTCGTCCAGGTTTAAAGGAATTGCGGTTTCGAATCGTAGTTGAGACATTAATGTATGCATATGTATTATAGTCCTCTATGAAAATCCTGCGGTATTCATTTTGAACGATTGATCTAGTTTCTTGCAAAATTCGAGGAGGAAATTCTTATCACTTTACAATATTTCAAATAGTATCTTATATACTGGTAATAAAGTGCATAATGAATGAATATTGTGAGTTGGTGAATTTACAGCAATTAAATACACGACAGATATATATATATATATAGTATATATATATATACATATATAATATATATAGGGAAGGGAGAGGGGGCGAGAGAGAATAGATAAAGCCGGATATTATGTTGAAGAAATGTTGATTTATGTTATTTATTGTGGGTAGAAAAAAGTGCTGTTCTAAACTAAATGATATTATTCCATTAGCAAACACCTATAGCATCTCCTCAAACAACCAAGCACCATGCATGTACTATGCCAAGGTATTAAAGCATTTTCCACCAAATGACTAGAAAAATAGGTAAGCTAGAACAATCATTAATGGTATAAGCATGTTAGTAGACACAAACAGCAAGAAAATAGGCCTACTGCGTTTCATTTATTACTCTTCCTTATTAAAAACGATTTAGTATTTTTAGCATTTGAGCGATTTCTTCATCACTAATCAAGAGTAAATTTCAGCTCGTCTATTCGTTTAAATGCAGTAAAGAAGAGTGCATATCGCAATGATATCTATTTCAGGTATGTTAATCGAATACTTGTGCTGTATCCGCATATTAAACAGCTCCAAAGCTCTAGTAGCCAGTTGGTTAAAGCGTCCGTATATACAGCAAGAGACCTGGCTCGAATCTCGGATGCAGCCATCTTTTCCTCTTCTTTATCCTTTACAATACAAGTATTATGTATATATTGTATAGATTAAATCAAATCAAAGTGGCATGCCAGCAATGCCGTAGCCAGCTATTGGAACAGTTGGGACAGTCCCACACAATTTTTCTAATGGAAGCCACAAAGAATGGGTCCACATTTTTTTAAAAATTGGTCCAAATTATGCAGTTTTTATGCACAAATGAGTCAAGAGATCTCATATTTAGCCTAAAAATGGTAAATTTTTTAAGAAATGGGTCCAGATTTTTCATATTTTAGCGTAAAATGGGTCAACTTTTAAGAAAATGGGTCCACATCATTTGAATTTACTCGTAAAATACGTCCACCCTGCCATTGTCCCGCACTGTTTGAAAATCCTGGCTACGGCACTGCATGCCAGTGTGTTTCCTGAGACAATAATCCAGAACAGCCAGACGATATACAAAAAAGGACGATGAATTCTGTGCTCCAAAATCGAGTCTTGAGAGAATAATCCCTAATGGATGTGTGTGCTGTGTGTCAATAAATTGCATAACAAAAATACATAAGCATGTTGTTTTTTTTTTTTTCAAATACATTGTGGCTGAGTGTTCTGCTTCCAGTGACGCCATACTCACCACATCTTATATTTCAAACACCAGCTGACAACATTTGATAACTCTGTACATGTGAAGAATAGAATGTCTGTTACGTTTAATAAGAAAAGGCTTGAGCATAGCTCTGCAGATATTGACGGTATTAAATGCTTAACCATATTTTATACAACATGGTGGTATGAAGAATTCGAAATAGTTAAATGAAATCACACTAGTGCATTCCCGTTAAATATCATTTGAATTTTGAGGTACTATTAACTAAATTAAGGTGGTAAGTCTACCTATACCTATAGCAACTATATATACAAAAAAATCCTATGGTATTCCAAATAATAATAATAATAAATTTTTGACATAGGGAAAAACTTTACAATTGAATACGACAATACAGTACAACGAAAGCATAAACGGTGAAAGGGTTCCAGGAATACAACAAAACGAAATCATGTATTTATGAAATTTAATTAAGTACTGAATCACGTTCATTTTTTAAATATTTGTGGGTAATGACCCACAACTAAAATATATGATAGCGTGTTATCACTTAATACTTTATTGTATTGATTTTAGTAGAAAAAAAACACGATATTTAGGCCTTCCAAATCTATTCCACTTGTCGATGGATGAGTATATAGCTAGCTTCCTTAGTAATACATACATTTTCATCATAATGAGGCATAGGTTGTGAATGTATTTTATATTCACGTTGAAAGCCATTTATTCTGGGTAAAACACACAAACCTGACAACACGTGCAATAACTATTCTCTATGATTTTATCTATAAAATGTTAAATTTATTACAAAATGTAAGAAATATATAAAATACAAAAAGTATCAATTGTTCTAGACATTGCTTTCAAATTGGAAATCGATAGTACATGGGAGTTTCTGAGAAAAATGTTTTCCATTTGCAACTATAGAATACGCATGTACCTCAGGCGTGTAACTTTGCCCGATATTCCCCGGGTCTCCTCGGCCTTCCAGTAGTTTGTAGCAACATTGTAGGCGATGTTTGTTGTGATATGGACCCCATTCTTCAGTTGGTCTTGAGCTCTTGTATATTCTCTGCAACGTGGTTCAAACATTTGTTAAGAAAAATTATGAAAGCAAAAAATAACGTATTTATATGACATTCAATCAATAATTGGTGCATAAAAGGTGTTGCACGAATTATTAATCCTATCGTGCTCCATACAAACCATACAAAAGCTCGGAATGTTCAAATCCAAAGTTAATACTAAAGCTAAAATACTTCTTATCTAAGCAGGTGTGGGTGAGGCTTACCTGTAACAAAGTTCCTTCCTGCTTCCAAACTTCATAGACAGCGAAAACTACAATTGGGATTATTGCCGCTAGTACCATTAACCATCCTAGAGCTTCGGCACCTTTCGAGTAAACATACCCGTCGTATGTAAGAGGCTCATATCCGAGGCAGAAAAATATAAAGATGAACTACGAAAAAAATCATAAAAAATATTATCATGTCTTATTATTATTAGTATTATTAGTAGTAGTATTATAAATAATATTAGTATTCCGCACTTTTTTTTTAAATTATTTAATGTCATTATTTGTTGTTTTTCTATGTTCTCACTTTAGTGGAACGAATGTATATTTGCTGTTGGCTGAATAATAAAAAAAAATAATGTAATACATTTTGTAACACAATCAACCACATTTCATATTAATATTATTAATTAATGTCATTAATTATTATTAAATTATCAATCATATATATATATGCATATATAGTATGCTTTGTTGTTTTTGATCAAGATGCTATCATTTTAATAATAATTAATCATTATATTATTATTAATTTTTGTAATTAATTATTATCATTACTTACTTTCATTTAAAACAACTTACAATGATAATTGATGGTCCAACGACAATCCAAGTGATCAACCAATATATATTTGGAGCGAAACCTAGCATATACGTCATATTCTTTACAAACTGTCGGTAGTCTACAAAAGAAAAAAAAATAGCTATAAGAATAGTAGTAACACAGAATATGGATATGGATAAACCACTTGCCTATCCGCGCAATAACCACCAGTAAATTTGTATCGCTATGAAGTGTTATTTTTGGACAAAATGTTTATTATTGATATGGTTCAATTATATATTATTTCTTCTGTAGACTGGTGGAGCGACGAGGAGAGGAAAAGCAAATGCCCAAGCGGAGAACAGTGAGGTACATACGGTAATGGTTTACAAGTAGTTGTGCATCGCTGTAGTGAACAAAACTTGTACCTCAACAGTGGTCCTACGTAAACTTAAAATAGAAATATCAAAAACCAGTGGACAAGTCGAACATGTCAAAAAACACAGCAATGTCACAATCCAAAAAGAAAAGGATATCACCTTGAATTTTGAGTAGGTTTATTTCAGTCTTATTATTTAGGCCTATTAATATTTCCTTTTATGCCTTAACAAATGTTAAATTTTTAAAAATTTCAAAGAAAGGGAAAGTCAGGGAGAGACAGATCATAATAATCACTATAATCATCTCATCATCATTATTATCACCACCACCCTTATCATCATCATCATCACCATCCTTATCACCATTTTATTGTAGTGAAAACAGAGGCATATTTGTTCAAATTACAAAAACGTTTAAAAAAAATATGGAGTAAAAAATACATGAAAAACAACAATAATAGGGAGGGTGATGTGAGGAGTTATAACCATAGCACCATAGAAATTTACCCTCCGAAGGTCGGTGCTTCTGAAGTTCATGTATACCTTGCGGTCATACACTTTTTAAAGTAATTATTAGGTATTTGTACAGTGTATGTCCATCTATATTTTTATGCTGTTTCTCATTCTGATATAACTTTTAAAAACCTTTTTAAAACATGTTTTTATGATACCAAAAAAGGAATCTAATCAAATAATGGAAGTTGACGGTGAAAATTGCATGCATTTCACGGTCATTTTGTGTTTAACTTATCTGTATCTAGTTTGAAACGCTTTAGAAAACGCAAATTGCGTTAACATAAAGTTTCATAACCTATTTATTAATATTTATAATATATAAAATGATGCCTTATTTTAATATGCACATCTTTGATGTATAGTCATTGCTTAGACAAAGCTTGAAGAAGATCCGAGCATGAAAAGTGACCGAAGTGACGGACAGAAAAATCCTGTTAAGAATGCAATAGAAGAAAAAAAAATTCAGGAAAAAGAACAATGGCTTTTAGAAGTGGTTAGCGCATCGGTTGTGGCTTGGACTCTCGCTGTGCAAATCGCTTGTGTCCTTGGGCAAGGCACTTTATCTATGGCTGCACACGAAGAGTGTACCTGGTAGGTTCCAACACAACTGCACTGGTTACTAGCTGCAATATTATGGAATTCTCCCCAGGGAGCTGGGTATGTGTTACACATGTTTGATCCAATGACTGGGGTAATAATATGTTCAGCGCATTGAGAGCTTGCTTATATGCTTTATATAAGAATGAACTATTATTATCATTATTATTTATTATTATTATTATTATTATTATTATTATTATTATTATTATTATTATTATTAATTTTATTTAATTTATTTTTTTATTTTTATTTATTTATTTCTTTTCACGTTAGTGCCATGCGGGAAAATCAAAATTCTGAACAAAAACCATATACCAACATATTATAACCATAATACCACCTAATGAATAATACATACCGTAGATATATATAACACACACAATCTCAAGTAAAGCTATTAATAGTAATGAAAATCCAGCCGAATATGTATCCATCAACGTTAATAAGTAAATTCCACCCTGTAAAGGAAAACAGTAAACATTAATATAGTTTTATGCATATGACTAATGGTAGGCCTACGCTTGATGAAACTTAGAGTCTGTCGTGGAACGAAAGCCATACAAATCTGTCTATTTGGAAGGTCTTGAGATCGGATTCAGATATCAAAATTTGTTTTAAGGTATATCATGTATGTAGTTACTCAACGGAGTTTTCAAACTTTTAATCAACCATCCGATTTCGGAGTTTCTGCATACTATTAATTAACAAGCTAGTACGCAAAACATCCGCAATTGGAGCGTTGGTTAAACGTTTGAAAACTCCGATTTTTGAGTTTTCGCGTATAGTACGCAAAACCTCATCGGAGGGTTAAGTAAAAGTGTTGCTCTAAATAATAATAGTACGCAGAAACTCCGAAATCGGAGATTTGTACGCAGAAACTCCGAAATCGGAGGTTTGATTAAAAGTTTTGAAATTCCGATTTTTGAATTTTCGCGTACAGTACGCACAACCTCCGATCGGAGGGTTGATTAATAGTTTGAAAACTACGCTTTCGGAGTTTTCGCGTATAGTACGCAAAAACTCCGAAATCGGAGGGTTGAATATTTGGAGTTTTCGCGTATAGTATGCAAAACCTCCGAAATCGGAGGGTTGAGTAACAGTTTGAAAACTCAGATTTTGGAGTTTTCGCGTAGTATGCAAAACCTCCGAAATTGGAGTGTTGAATAAAAGTTTAAAAACTCCGATTTTGGAGTTTTAGCGTATAGTACGCAAAAACTCCGAAATCGGTGGGTTAAGTAAATGTTTTGCTCTCTCTATACAGGGAGAGCTTGTTCAATTAATAGTACGCAGAAACTCGGAGGTTTGATTAAAAGTGATTAACTGTTCAGTACTGATAGTACAGGTCTCCCTCCTATTAAAGACTAGGCCTACATTTGAGACCGGGGTTTCTATTCTCTTTAACAGCTATGGTCTCTAATTATAATAATAAAGGGAAACGACATTTGTTATTAAGGGACCACAGAAAAATCCTAATTGGAGGTGGTCTTTAATTACAGGGAGACTGTAATGCTAATGTCATTGCATTGTGTGCCTAGGGCCTAGGACGAAATACATGGATTGTGTGGAAATTTGCGACTATGATGATTTACTCAAGGTATTCTTATATCATTTAATACAAAATATCAGATTCCATTAAAATTTAGCAAAATACACAAAAATAAACACCTCTCGGTGGCTCGTTCCCAAACGGGATAGCGAGAGCTCTCTATTGTACACTCGTACACAAAGGTATACAATGATCGTACGCACATTATGACTTACCTCAGTGACATGCGGAAGACCAAGTAAAAATCCAACAACACAAAATGCCAGGGTGATCTTCAGCTTATGTTGGTAAATATTCTTAAAATAATTCTTAAGTTCATCGCAAATGGCTGTTATAATTGTTTCCATCATTACAAACTATAATAATAAAAAAAAAGAAAGAAAAAGAGTCTTCATCTTGAATTCACATTATATTTACGTCATTTTGGTGAAAGCATTTGAATAGCTGTGTTAGACTGAACATTCATCATTTTGCCACCGTTGGCTGCTTCATCGAGAAAATTAAACATTTTTTTACAAAGAGGTGAGAACAATGAATGATGAAAAATAAACGTTTACACTTTCATTACATGAGCAGAAATGTTGCTTAAAATTCATTATGCTGTCCACTCGCAAGGAACCTACGTTAGAGCAATTGTTAACACATGCATACCGCTTCAAATGACTGATAATACCAAGAACTAACTGGAATCAAATCACAAAGCAAGTTAAAGCTTCCAAGATAATCACTTTGCTCTCACAGTGAAGAAGATCAAGATAAAAAGGTAGCATTAAAATGAGCTTGATTAAATTATGGTTGGATCTATGCATAGAATATTAAAATCATGGATAGCCAATCAGTCAGGATCCTCTAGACGCTGCTTAAAGAAGTACGATTGTGAGGTTTGCAGGGCCTGACAGCCTGCCAAGTTCTAGGTTTAAATTAAGTCCTCTGGAATGTGTATTTCTGTGAGACGAAGCAACGAGATTATGTTCATCTAGTTATTGTATATTTTTCAGTTTGCTACATATTATGTATCATGACAGGAACTGTCATATCCTTTTTCGTGCAATGATTATTTATGATAAATGTTCATTAATAAGACCTAATAGGTAAGAACTTATTACCACTAATGTATGTCTGAAATAAAATTAAGCCAATGTATTAACACCAATTTAAATGTATTTTTTTTTACTACTGTGGTTAATTCAATTCTACCAAATTGTTTTCCACTTCTGATTTCAACTGTATGCAATTCTGCACTGCACATAAATAACGCGTAAGAACAAAAAATACTAACCTGACTGTCCAATCCTAGAGTGAAAAGCATGAAAAAGAAAACGATCGACCAGAAGGGAGCACCGGGCATCCTAGAGACTGCCTCAGGATAAACTACAAAAGCTAAACCTGGGCCGGATTTAACAACTTCTCCAACAGGTACACCAGCATCGTGTGCCATGAATCCAATGATGGAGAATATCACAAATCCAGCGAAGACACTTGTACCACAATTAGTTAATGCTACGATAATTGCATCTCTAGAAATTGAACAAAAAATCGGTTGTTATTAGGTTTAATACAATGTAAACAATTTGTGTCATTACTTGATAATAATGTCATGAAGTACAAATTTATTAACCAAATACAACTACAGTGCAACCCTCTAATTCGAGAATTTTTGGGACCTGAATTTAGGTTTAGTCTTCAATTACATGGTAAGCTCATGTTAAATGATTAAAGACTGTTAGTTAATACTTTGGGCTCCATTTTGAGGGGTTTCAAAATTACAGTATGGACCATGACCAAGTTAAAGAACGCAGCATTCAGGCAATATATCTTCTCTCCCTTGTGTTCACACTTAATAAATCCAATCCAATCCAAGCAATTAATCTTTGGTCACAACTTAAAAACGACATATAACAAGTCTGCTGGTTTGTAATGAAGGGTCCATTTTAGAAGTTGAGTTGAATAGCTTGGTGGTTAAGATGTTTGTATTCCAATCCCACGAGGTTTGTATGTGTATATGTATATGTATATACATGTATATGTATATACATGTATATAATATCCTTGGCATTGGGACTAAATATAGAAAAGGCAGCATCGCTGTTAGACCTCTTAATTAAATCAATAGAAACTATGAAAATTCTATAGTTAAATATAACTGGCCCAGTAAATGAAAACTATTAGCACGATATACTGAAGATCTGTAGCCTCGCTCAAGCAATTTCTAACCTGTGACAGTTGTTCCGGAACTTATTGTAACTTGCCAATGTATGAAGTCCACCCCAGGCTGGTCCCAGGGAGTAAAAGATTTGTACTGCCGCATCCTTCCATACCTGTATAAAAATATTACATAATATCAAAGACGGGTTTCAAAAACCCCAATTGAATCTGGTCTCGATCGCCAAATACCTTACTCAAACCCGTATTCGTGGAGCAATTTTTAGCTGCAACGCAATAGCGGTCTCAAGTTGACCTGACCTAGTTAGATGTCAAGACTCGCAACATAACCACTCTCTGCATGCTTGGTCCAAATAGTCTGTACTTCTAATAACTCCTTGTTGTAGCAAATGTAATGTCGGGCGTAATGTGGACCGAGGCTATCGCAGAGGGTACCATTTCGAATATTCGTGCAACTACTCGATACGATATGATTTATTGGGTTCACTTTTAGATCAGTGGCACCCATCACTTAGATGGTGCACCCATTAACAATATAAAATAATAATAATAATAATATAATATATAATATATATATAATATATATATATAATACTTACAAACCGGAGCAAATCAGTATCGCTGATTTAACGGTTGTATAACAAAATTGGAAATTGATTTAAAGCCAATTTAAGGTTCAAACAATACGCAAACAGTATAAAAAATGTATTAGGCCTATGTGATGTGGCTGTTACCGCAATTTGTGATGAACATATTTTCCAATTCTACTTTTCAAATAAACACTAGTAATAAATAACCAATGTAAGAAATTAGTGCAACTTTAAAATTAAAAATGCTTGCTGAAGTAGAAAAAATCTCCACCTCATATAACTTCATTCCTCCAGAGTACACCCACTTTCCCATTGCGTATCCTCTATGCCGCACAATCACATCATTTAAATATTGCCACTATGCACATCTAAACAAAATTACTTAAGCATATTTTCACAAGAATGGATTGTCTAATAAACAGATTCATAAACATATTAGTCTTCATAGTTAAATGCATCTATAATGAATGTAGGCCTAAATCATTATATATTAATACAGGATTATGCAAAATACATATTTTGAAAACTGCTATATTTTTTTTTATGTCATTGCATTGATGATAACCTATTAGTAATACAGTAGAAATACGGGGCTAGGCCCAGTACATCACAGGAAATTGTGCATGACGATTCGGAAATTGATGCAATCATACAAGGAAAACGTCCCTGTAATTAGCTTATGTATGAAATATGTTGGAAATGTTACACAGATATCCGTTTGTAAAAATATTTCCCTTTCGTATTAGATGATATTTGATATAATTAAAATCTCACCTTGGGGTTCTTAAGTAGATGAAACTTGGGAGATACGTAGAATTTAATCCCATCTAATGCTCCTGGAAGTGTCAATCCGCGGATCAGTAGAATAAATAGTACAACGTATGGGAATGTAGCAGTGAAGTATACAACCTGTTATGATATGATAGTACACCAATATATCAAGAACAATATAAGGCCATTACTTTGTGGTGAGCTTAACAATTAATTTGAATACCGTACATGTGTTGTTAATTCCATTACATTTACTAATAAATAATTAAAATAATAATTATATATAATATAAAATATTCGTGTTTAATAAATTATGCTCCAAAATTACGTCAACTTGACTTTTGTTTTTATTGTCTATATATATATATATATATATATATATGTATATATATATATATATAGGAAATAGAATGTAGCATATGTAATCATTACTTTTCCTGAAGACTTGACTCCCTTAGCGATGCATCCAAAGACGACTACCCAGGCCAGAAGTAAACAGAGTGCAAGTTGCCATCGAATTTTACCCATCTCTTCCATTCCTGATGACCGCTGTAGAACGTGATTACTAAAAAGGAGCACAGATCATCCAATAAGAGGTTAGATTCTTTGGTATTTTATGTATATTTCTGAGGAGATGCAGGATTTGGCGGTAGGGGTGCGTGAAAGTCCACAGCACCTCAGCCATAGTTGGGCTAAAGTGGGAACATTTTGAGAATATGGACCTTTATGTGCCCGGAAATTAAACTCTCATAGTACCTTAAAACATACAGTTTAGGGGGTGAAATTCACTTTACTGCTCGTAGGTTGATTTATTGTGCCCTTTTTATTATTATTATTATTATTATTATTTATTATTATTTAATATTATTATTATTATTTAATATTATTATTATTATTTAATATTATTATTATTATTTAATATTATTATTATTATTTAATATTATTATTATTATTATTATAATTATTATTATTATTATTATTATTATTATTATTATTATTATTATTATTATTATTGTTTACCTTTCAATATCACAACATTTGAAGTTCCTCGACCTTTCACCATTTAAGATTTATATTGGTATTTATGAAATTCACAAAGTCCAATCTGCTAAGCTTTAATGGGTTTATCCAGATAAATGACTAAAGTGAAAGAAACAAACCAGTGAAATATAAAGTATCCATAGGGCATTAGTATAATTTCTGATTATGTTCATTTGATCCCCTCCTCCAGTGCACTTTGGGGTTTAATTTTTGGACCGAGGTAGGAGGTTTGAAAACTACTTTACTCGCTTCTGCAATAGCTGAAACTAGGTCTACGCCATCTAGCGAATATTAAGAGACATCGGTGTTATTAAGCTTGTTTTTTTTTTCACTTTACTTACTCCCAATATTCTTGACTTGGCCATTCTCTGCTGCTGTTATAAACGGCAGAACTATTAACAACCAGACATTTGTCAGTATTCCATTCATGGTCGCATGACTTCCAGGGTAACTCCGACGTAAATGAGGCGAACAAAAAGAAAATTGTGTAGGATATTACGATGTTGTAGTAGCAGCACACCATCGCAGTGATCACCACCATACCCCAACCGAGTCCTTTAAAAATATATCAATACTTTCATATGTTATTCATTCTTTTAATATGCTATCATATGAGAATTATTCGATCAAAAGTTATTTTTCGTCTAAAAATAAGTCAACATGCCTACTTGATAATATCGCTTGTAAGTTTACCTTTAAAAATTGGGCTAATTTTCCAGATACTGATACAGCCAAGTCCAGCAAACTGGCCGAAGCCGAGTTCAAGGAAAAAGAGTGGAAGTCCGGCACAGAACAACATCATGCAGTAAGGTATTAAAAAGGCACCTTCAAATGACATAAAATAAATTTAAACATCTGTACTCTTACCAAATCCAAACTCATATATTTACTTTAAATTAAGAACATAATATGTATTTTAACCTTGAAACTTAAAGACTTAATAAATATGACTAAACAAATAAAAAACATTGGGCTTACAGTCCCATTATTTAAAACATTTATTTTAATCTTTATTGGATTTAGCTACGTAAAGTTGTACAACAATATAACTGTAATCTATTACTGAAAATAATTATACCTATGACCAGTGGCGTATCTATGGGGGTGCACACGACCCGTCGCCCCCCTCCCCAAATATTGTATATTTGATGGGCCTAGATACCTAATATAGGTTGCTCATTTTCTTCCCGTCAATAACCTTACCTCCCCCATTATCGTAACATAGATATGGGAAACGCCAAACGTTTCCTAGACCGACGGCGAACCCAATTGTCGAAAGCATGAAGTCAAGCTTCCCGCCCCAATTGCCTCTTTCTTCTTCGTCACTAAAGTCATCTTCGTTCAGTTCATTTGATTTCTTTTTATGCTGGAGCTTGGTGACCTGTGGCATCGGTGCATTCAAGTCCACCTGCAGAAAAAAAAATGTTGGTCAAATAGTTACTAGAGCTATAGTGTCTGCAGACGGCGTAGAAATTGTGCCAATAACTTGGGGCAGACGAGCACCGCCTACGACCCCGGTAAGAATTCAGGGGAATTCAGATTCATTCCTTCATTCAGATTGGAAAATTAAAATTTTGAGAGGCATATTTAGACGATTTTAACATATTATAATACGTAAATCAACTGAATTTCAGAGGAATACTCTAAAGAATATGACAATGGTAGCTCCAGTTTTTTGTCATTTCTAAGTAGGCTAAATCTACTCATAAAACTCTGGCATCCAAACCTCAAAAGACTCGGATGCAATTTCTCAATGTTAAGATACAATTGGTAAAATACATACCTAGTTTATAAAGTGTAAACAATTAAGTTAAAATTACTAAATTACAATGTAATTTGTTTTTTATCTATAATATAAACGTATCAGTGAACCCCAAGATTCTATCATAAACCAAATTGTACCGTCTGAAAGGATCTCTACATGTAGATCTGCCTTTGATATTTGATTGATGTAAAGGATTTTTGTGTGTGGATATCTAGTTAATAAATGACCTGATGTTGACATCATCGATGATGAATAAATAACTATTTTATGTAGGCCTATTTTTTTTTTGTAGACCTGCACTTTTACTACTATTTTTATTTTTATTTTTCAAATCCTGTCAGATCCCAGAATTTTGTTCAAAACAACTCCACTCCATAAGCCTCATTATGAAAGCTAGTTTAAGTAGAGCATCATTTTGTGTTTGTAATTAGATAGGAATAGAGCAGGAGCCCAGGGGTGTCAGCATAGCTGGAAAGTTAACCAATTTTTGTGTATATAGTAATGTTCTATGTGTCTGTCTATATAGGAGAGTGGGCATCTGCCGGTCCCATTGTGGTGGGTGTGGTCAGGAGGGGCATAAAAAGTGCCCCAAAAATTGAGCTAGATCAGCTTGTGAATTAACCCAATGAAACCTATCAGAATATATTCGGCATAGTTCAAGATATCACGAATGGACAATGCCAGACATTTCCAACGCCAAAAACCAGTACCCCAAAATTAAGCTAGATCAGCTTGTGAGTTAACCCGATGAAACCTACTGGAAAATGTTAGGCATAGTACCAGGTATCAGGAATGGTCACCGCCAGACATTTTTAATGGTGGGGTATACCTGCCAGACACCCCCAAATACCCCGCCCACAAAATTGACCTAGATCAGCTTGTGAGTTAACCCGATAAAACCTACTAGAAAATGTTCGGCATAGTACCTGGTATCAGAAATGGCCACTGCAAGACATTTTTAATGGTGGGGTGTACCTGCCAGACACCCCCTTATAGCCCGCCCCCGAAAATTGACCTGATCAGCTTGTGAGTTAACCCAATAAAACCTACTGGAAAATGTTCGGCATAGTAACAGGTATCAACTTGTATGGGCATAGCACCAGGTATCACGAATGGCCACTGCCAAAATTTTTGAGTGTGGTGTATCTACCAGACACCCCCTTATGCCCTGCCCCCTCCCAACCCCCAAAAAAGAAAAAAAAACATTTATCAAGATTATCTAGTGAGTTCACCTGATGAATGTTACATGACATGACACGTTACATGTAACATGAGTGACCACAATGACAATTTTTATTTGTACTGGAAATCTACTCGTACTGAATATTGGGCATTTATAAATTTTAAATCCTGTATAGAATCTCATTGTTAAACTGTTGTAATATATATATACAAGTTACAATAGCGCACCGTCTTTCGGATGTTAGTCCCGTGTGCATTTATGGCTCATTTGCACCTTAAAACACGTACAATCTTCGGAAAAGAGAAGGGGATTGTCTTCCGGTGTACCGCCCAATCACCACCAGAAGAACCTCATTGGAAATAAGTATTCTTCCAGACCTTCGTGGGGTGTTTACACGGAACAAATCTAATATTTTTAAAACAATCACAAAATGACATTATTGAAATAGGTTTCGTCCTCTTGTACACTAGAGTGCAACACCCCAAAGCCCGAAAACTAATACAGATACTTAGTCATTTGTTTTCGGCACACCACTGATTTTATTAAAAATCGAAGGCTAAATTTTAAATGTTGAATGTTAGACCTGAGGTTCTGTCAGTTCCGTCAGTTCTGTCACACACACACACACACACCCACCCACCCACACACACACACACACACACACATACCCACCCACTCACACACATACATACATACATACATACATACATACAAATATAATGTGTATATATGTGTATAAGTATCAATAAAAACTGTAGAAAACGATATTTAAATGCCAGAGTGGGAAACTGGGTCATCTTTATGCCGTCATCATTAGTGTACCACTCAGACCGAGTCTGTTAGACAATTAACACGAACGGTCAAAGATCCTGGAAACTGAACGGAAAAAATTACTCACGTAGTAGCCTTGACTTTCACGTGATAACCCACATCGTTTACGCGATACATGTGTGGGCACAACAATGTATTCAGGCTGGATCAACGAGAATTACAGATGAGATTTGCGGATTTGCCTATTTTATATATACAATTTCCACCTTGCTGCTCATTTTTTCAGCAAATACATACAGGTTATACATACAGTATAGTGTATTGAAATTAGTTCGCCCTAATGATGCTATAGATCTCATATTTCGTATTAAATAAAAATGTACATTAAAAAATCAATGATATTTTATTGTGTAGGTACTTTTTTTCAGTAGAAAATTACATTTTTAAAATAAGTTTGAAATACCGTATAAATTACCTTATAGTAGACCTACTGTAAATACAAACGTAACAAGAGAATAAGCAAACACAAGCAATTCAATATTTTATGTTATAAACCAACAGTTGGCCTCCGCTCACACTTTCTTTTGTACTGTAACCCATCTACAGGGTTCACAGTTTAAATAACACTTTAAAGCGGAAAAGTGCGTATGAGGTTGGATTTCGAATACTCGCTGTGAATTTCCAGGTTGGGCAAGGCAGTTTACATACGTTTGCATTTCTTTTGACTACCTATGTTGTGGAATTGAATTGAATGAATGTAATAACCATGGCCAGTGCACGGAGAAGGTTTCATTTTGTGCTGGTATGCCATTTTCCAGTGATCATGCTTGGGTGCTTTCACGCCTTTGATTACTTTTGGTTTAGGATTGAAACATTATAAATATATAATAATATAATAATAATTAATGATTATAATAAATAATAAAATAATAATAACAATACTCTCGTCGACAACAAGTGATCGTGGGTTCAGTTCCGTTGATTGGCTATGTCCGATACCAACTTTATATAGGCCTATATATAGTCCCTTTGTTCTACCATTTTTTTTTTTTTTTTTTTTTTTTTTTTTTTTTTTTGAGGATTTAAATAATACGGTCTACGCAGCAAACCTGATTGGAATATTATTTACTATGATTTCCAAGCTGCGACCAATGCTTTTCTAGCTCATAGAGTTTCAATTATATGGCTTAACAATTATAGTAATAATTATTATTATATTATAGTAATAGTCTAATGGAATGATACGCTTCTTGAAAAGGAGAGGCTGCAGGTTAAAATCCCGCTAATACTTATTTGCATATCAACTAAAAAAGGAACTTTTCCTTGAAGGGCTATCTGAGCACTTATATATGTATATATAACACTCTTTGTGATATTGGGACAATGTGTAAAAAATAAAAAAAAACACCTCTTAGTACGACCAACCTTGGTGAAAAAGGCATCACCACACTGGGAAAGATTATAACAAAGACAAATACAATAAACACAAAATATAGGAGATTTGAGAAATTAGAGCCGTGGGCAAGTGGATCTTAAAGTCAGGATCCGGAGGAAAAAAAATGTGATATGTTAATATGTTGTAGAACTGATTTTTCTAAGACAGAAAAAAGTTTAAAAACTGGGGGGGAAAAGGGGCGTAACTGTACATTTTTACACCTTATTCCCCCAATTTTTAAATATATCTGTATCTCATTCACCGTTCCCCAGTTTTTCGTCAAACAACATTTTTTCTGTCTTAGAAAAATCAGTTCTGCAACATATCAAAATTGTTTTTTCTTCCGGAGCCTGACTTTAAATAATTGTTAGAAAATATTTGAATAACGTTCAGTTTAGAGATTATTTCAGAGTTATGGCGTAGTGTGTGTAGTGAGAATCTTGTAATACCTTGCATTTGAAAACAAAATACTTTGTTGCAGCCAATAGAGATCCATGATGAGAGGAGCCGAGCGTGTGTGATGCTTACATGAAAATATTGTACTATTAGCCAGCAGCAGCATTATTCCACACATTCTGCAGCCTATTTAACTTTTTTTTAAGTACCACTGCGGAGTGAATTGCAATAGTTTATCCTTGATAAAGGAAAATAGAGCTTTAAATTCCAAATTCGCGTGTACTGGACTCTCCACAAATTTCGCAACTTTGCTGCAGACCTTGCCAACCTGGGGAATTTAAGTGTGGAATCAAGAGTAAAATCAAGATTACGTACACAGTTGGAGGGTGTTATAGGACATCCGTATTGCTAACCAATCATTTATAATTACATTTTTGAAATGCAACTAAACACTTGGAAGAATTTCAACAACTAGAAGAATTAGAAGAATTTACAACTAGACTGACGGACTAAATAATAATTAATTAATTAATAATAATAATAATAATAATAATAATAATAATTAATAATAATTAATTATTAATCTGCATAAAGATGAAAGTTGTTATTATAATAGGCCTATAGGATGCGTCCTATTGTCGATTCCTCTCCATAAGGTGAGGTGAACCCCTTTTCCATACCGTAATCCTGACTCCAAAGATGATGTATTGACCACCTGTGTATCTTTTCCTCTATTATTATTTTACATTATTCATTATGGAGATGAACACGGTAGTATTTCCGCTGCACTTATTTCCCCTAGGGGCAAGGCAAACATCCTAACCACTAAGTTATTACCGTACTCCATTCCCTAAGCTATTTAACTCCTAAGCTATCCCACTCCATTCCCTAAGCTATTTATTTCCATTTCAGAGATCTGAGTGAATTTTATTAGGAAAAGAGAGTTTTTGTAGTAAAAAGGTCTGTAAATCAGCAAAGTATGAATTATGTTGATGTTTATCGCTTAGTCGACACTATTGATCATTTTAAATAGGCTGATCAATGTTTTTCTTGAGTTTTCAAGATTTTATACAGGCACAATAATCTATGGTTGGCAAAATAACAAACTGTTCATTGTAACATCCGGGTAAATAGGATTAAACTTATTATATGATAATACAGGACTAATATAAGCTTCTGTTTTTATTCTAATTTAATTATTGGTAACGTGGCGAAGCTTTCCTCATTTCACCTCAAAACGGATTACCTTGGTTGACATTATCAAACTGTTTATCCTAGCATCCGCTAATTTTGTAAATATATGAGTAAACACATTTTAAAATTGGCATCACCCCATACCGGTACCACCTTATCTTTCGCGCTAGCCTCCCGCTCACGTATTCATCGAGCGTTATCACTTCACCATCACTACCCCCACGACACTGCTAAACATAGATTCTATTGTTGGAGGATAAGCAGAAACTGGGCGATGTTTTTACAAGGCAAATTCACTGGGGAAAATCTAAACAATAAAAAGAAAAAAAAAAAACACGTCCAAAAGATGTCTGCAATTTAGTCACCAATAATTTTAAAAATTATTTTTGTACCGTACTGTATAGCAAAATGGAAAGTGTCGTTGAGGTTGAACTGATTTCATTAAATTGAATTTATGCATGATTTGAAAAATTTCGTCATTTGTTTTTATTCCTGATTTGTATCATGCCCATGTGTTATCATATGATTGATTATTGCCAACTCAACATAATTAATTCTCTGTTGTTGCTGTGTTAATTCATAATAAACATGTAACAAATGGTTAGTATTTAAGTCGATAATAATTATTGTTGGAATTACAATAGCTGAAAGGTTACACCAGACCTACAACGAACAGTGTATCGAACTATGCCTTTGTGTTTTATTTTTCTTTAAACCCGTGAGCGGATTTTATGATTAGGTCAGTGAGGTCTACTCACTGATTGATATGGCTCCAATTTAATTATATTTTATAACTTTTCAATTGTATCTAAGTACAGTGTTTTCATTTATCCGGGATTTTTTATATAATGTGCCAAATTGCGTAGTTCCTTGTAAAGTGCATTAAAAGAGCATTACGACATTGGACTGATGACGTCATGACCAGACTGATGAAGTAACAACACAGTCAGTTGAAAACTATAGCCGATTGTGATCGAAACATTCAAGTAAATTCTGATGTTATTTTGGTTCAATTAGGCCAATTTATTTAATAATGTGAAGCGCTTAGAGGCTTTGGTAAGGAATTAGGCACTATATAAGAAAGACATATTATTATTATTATTATTATTATTATTATTATTATTATTATTATTATTATTATTATTATTATTATTATTATTATTATTATTATTATTATTAATGAAGGTTTATCAACATTAAATAATTATGTTTTAAAAAAATACTAATGGACGATTTTATCAACTCAACCCGTGCACTCAACAAACCTCAAGTAGCCCCAATGATCGATTGCATCAAATACTAACTATTTATCTTATCAACATCTAAATTATTATGTTATCACTTTTCTTGATAAAAATAATTAAAAGTAGAACATTATATGGCGTAGCACAGCGCCCCGAGTATGAAATGTGATTCCCCTCTGAAGAACAAATTAGACCCAAAAAAGATTCGTAACATTAAAAGATGAAATAAAATGAATCAAAACTATATCAACGTGTCTAAAATGTATAAAAATTAGCAAGAACTTGTCTGTATGAAATTATTATTATTTAGACATAATCGATGCTGAAATGCGGATTTTCTTGCATGGGCCAGGCCGCGTAACATGGACACTTTCAATCTCTTTCAAATTCAATCAGTGGCGTAACGACTTCACTTTGAAAAACGTACGCAATCGGACTTGGTCGATAGCCTGGTTCACGTCGAACTTTTATCTAGATATAGATCCACTTAACTAGTTAAAGGTTCGACGTGAACCAGTCAATTATAGCTAGATAAAGGCTTAAGTCACTTAAGTTAACTTCACTAGAATAACGGTAAATTAACTTGCTTGAGGGTAAAGTCGGCCCGGATTACAAGGACACGATTCCTCTGGTTGGCAACAATTCGTACTCCAACAATGCTAAAAGCAGCAGCAAAGTAGTCTCATTAGTCCGGTTTTCAGAAATTACTTGTAATATTATTGGTAAAAATCCAGCAAACGTCCGTTTTACGAATAATCGATATTACAAATTACCCTTGCCCTTTGCATCATCCTCTCCGGGGGCTAAGCCCCGGGTCCCAAGTACAAAGGGGCCTTGGGAGGGGTATTTGTACTAAAAAACATGGTTACACTCTTACTAACATAGCTTTGTCATTAGGATCTAATAGCAAACACGCAAGACTAGCAAATTGAAACAAATCTTGGTTTTTAACTCACGAATTTACTATGTGGATTCGCACTACTTTTATACAAATATCAATTCCCGACTCAAAGGTGTTCTACAGCCGGGCTCCACTCAATGCCTTAGCCAGGATTTTCAAGCAGTGCGGGACAATATCAGGGTTGACCAACTTTACGCGTAAATTCAAAAATTGTGGACTCATTTTCTTAAAGGTTAACACATTTCAGGGGCGGATCCAGAGATGTCCAAAAGGGGGACCGAAAGGGGGGCCGAAAGGGGGTCATGCCCCCGCGAAATTTTTGTGTTCTAGACGCCCGAAAATAACATTTGAGGCGTTGTGGGTTATCATTTTTTCTTTTTCCTTCTTTTTTTCTTTTTTTTCCTTTTTTTTCCCCTTTTTTTCACCTCCCAAAAGGGGGGGGGGGGGGCGGGCCGGGCCCCCCTAAATCCGCCCCTGCATTTTATGCAAAAATATGAAAAATCTTGACCCACTTTCTTACAATTTTACACATTTTAGGCTAAATATAAGAAATCTGGACCCATTTTTCAAAAAGTGGACTCGTTTTATACATAATTAGAACCCACTTTTAAAAAATGTGGACCCATTCTTTGTGGACTCATTAGAAAAAGTGTGTGGGACTGTCCCAACTGTCCCAATAGATGGCTACGGCATTGGCTCCACTACAAAAAGAAATTTAGTAGTCCGAAATATTGAAGAAAGGGCTACTTGAATCATAGATTGAATACGGATCAAATTACAGTACGGTAATATAATATGCTAGTACTACTGTGAAGGAGTCCCTCGGCCACTTTTACAAAACACGTAACCGTAATCATTAAATTTCGCACGAAGACTCCAACATTTCCTCGCCCCAGGGTCCTGTGGCTCGCAGCCGCAGTACTGAATCCCAAATGTGTCAAAATTATAGGGACAATTTTAGTTGAACAGAGCCTATATTTTGTGACACTGATGTTATAACACCGTGTATCCATAGTTAAAAAATACGATCGATAATTCTAAATTTAGTTTACAATATGTATCTTGGCGACATGAAAAGCGAAATTAATCACAACGTATTCAACTGGTCTTTGAGTAAATATAAATTCATGCATATTACTATGCTACGTGCGTTTAAATTGTTTATTTGATGTTTCCCTATTTGTAAAACAAAATTAAAAAATTGCAGTCGTTTTACTAGACCATGCCAAGTTGTATGTTGTTGTTCGGTCTTTTTATTCAATGACTGCAAACCTTATTAGTAGCCACTGTGTGCGATGACCCATTGAGATCCATTGGTACCCGGTTCAATTCCATCTGCAGCTCTCATTGTGTTTCAGCTAGCGGGCTGGAATGCAGGTATTAAAAAGCAGGCATGGGGATTTTCCCGGTGTACTGCCCTATCACTACCATAAGGACCCCACTGGAAATAAATTTTTTGAAGGTTATTATCATCGGTGCCGATGTATTCCAGGTTGATTGGCTATACCTACTGATTCCACACACCAATCATGTAGAGGCCATGTATTGTTTTGTTTAGCCTATAGTGTTTACGGTGCTACGCAGCTAACCTAATTTGAATAATAGTATGCTATAATTTATAAATGCATTTCTGGCTTTACAATAGCTCCACTATGTGTGTGAGCGTCAGTCAGATGTATAAGAAAAAGTGCCTGGGGGAAGAAAAGGTCTGTGCGTATACACATAGGTTCGAATCCCACCAGAGAGACACCTTTTCCATACATATGTGTATGAGCTAAATTGTCGGTGAGATTTAAAAGAGTTTAGAGTTCACGACAGCCGAGTATAGCATGGTTCCGTACATTAGTGCATTTTGTTGATAACCAAAACAGATTACTTGAAATCAAGAAACAACAACTACACACACCTATTGTATGCTGATTTCGTTGTTAAAAGAAGCTTTAATTGAAGAATGGGAATTGTAGAAAGAGGACCAACCTGGTAAAAGCATTACTTGGCAAATAATAGTATACAGTACTAACCTCAAGAGCCATTTTCTCGTCGATTGCATTCATGATAGCGGTATTCGTCCCTGCCACTCCTGTAGTGGAAAAAAAGAACTATAGAAAAAAAAATAGCAGACTCCCTGAGAGACTGCTATGTACGGCGTGATTCGAACTCAGAATGAACTGAAACTAAGAAGAGCATCTATTGTTGCCGGAGTATACATCAATGATCACAAACTATGAGCCATATGCTGACCGTGAATATCTTTTGATTGGTTGATGCTGTTGCTCTGTTAAGCCATTTCGAATAGGATTTCCGTCCCACTCTGTAGTAATGTTTAATAGCAGCACGATATAATAATCTACAATACTAGCGTAGACCTACGAGAGTGGCGGAGATTTCAGGGATATTATAGAAGGGAATGCCCACGTTCACTACCAAGATACTAGTTGGTCGTTTTAGTATATCAATACATTTTAAACATTTTGTGACAGATTTTCTTTATTCATTTTTAAACGCTAGTTCAGTCAGCCAAAAAAGAAAATAACAAATTGAATGGTTTATTTATTTTTTTGGTGATCCGCTTCACAGAACAGATCACCTCCTTGTTATTGTAAGATCTTTTTTTTAAAATTCTACATTTCTCCACATTTATATTTCGCACGATATCTCAAAATTGCCGCGAGCTAAGCACACATGGCAGCATTTAGTTGGAATAGTCACAATAAGCTTTCCAATGTGATGACCAGCAATGCGTGACGTCCTCTACGCACAATTTTTCGTTTTTACATTATCGATCATATCATCCTAACTAATTGCCATTTCGAAATCTCATTTAGTGAGCATAAACTTCAGGTTAAATTTGAATGTCATGTACCTGAATTTTACGCGCGCGTGTCAACATTTTAAAATGCTAAAATTAAAATTTTCGCACAGCGCGCGTATTTATACACGCGGAGCACGTACGGAAGCTTGAAATTTCGTTTTTTTATATATATGTTTTGGGTTTCTGAAACTATATTCACAAATGTCCATTCTTTTTCAGTCATTATAGGGCCAATAGCAAGGCCGTACGCGTGCATCAAAGATATGAATCCTTGTGCGCGTTTTTGTCGACAGACACATAAAATTTGCCAAAATAATGCCAATTTTCAATTAGTAAAAGCTCCTTAGGATGAAAGGTGACCCCCAATTTTTATTACTTATTCTAAAGGCACATGAGTTGTAGATATGATTTTATATGATCGGACATTGTGACGTCGTTTGTTAAAATACTCATTTGAGAGTATCTCGCTTATCTTTAATCGATACTTTGAAGTATGTTATAGCTGAGACAATTTTCTTTCATAAATGTGACTTTTTACATTTTGATGACGTCATCACGGTCAAACTAAATGTTTTTTCTGACCCCCCTCATCTCTCTTTCCTCAAGACTTTGATAACCCCCATATCATCATAACCAATTGACATTTTTATTCATATTCAATGGGCATAAAACCTCAGGTCAAGGATGAATGTCATGTACCTTAATTTTCCATGTGCGCATCATAACGTGCGCGATGAAAGGTAAACCCCCAATTTGTATTACATATTCTGAAAGCACATAAGTTGGAGATATGATTTTATACATCATTATGGCTGATCGGACATTGTGACGTCATCATATTGTTATCTGAATACAAAACAAGAGCGACCGCTCACATGCTAAACCGACCGCGCCATTCATGCGATGTGCGTTATTAGTGGTAATGGCAATAATGTACAGTCCTTGCTGAAAACCCCTGTTTTGTTTTGTAGGTGATGGGGAATATGTCATTTATTTTTCACTTTGATGACGTCATCATGGTAAAAGTGAATATTTTTTTTTCTGACCTTTCCCCCACCTCTCTCTTTAAATCTTTGACGACCCGAGAGAGGGCGTCAGACTTGATATTGAACTGCACAGTTTGACAATGGCTACTGTATTTGTCCATGTAATACTTTTAAGCGCCGGGAGATATCTTTTGCCTGACAAGCGGATCACCTAATTCGTCCTCAGTGACGAGTTCAAATCTAGTCTATATTTTATACTTTCATTAGCCTGAATAAGCGAGACCATTGATGTTTTTTTTTTCAAATTTATAAAGCATTTTTGTCAGAATTCCTTTTAAAAAAATCAATCAATCTAAACAACTGGAATGCGCGAGTTCCCGATCCCTCATTTGAACTTTCCTCAGACCCCACTGATGACCCTAGCCGTCCCATTTCTCAATTCAATTTCAAAATTATTCCAAGACCTCCGAGACGGAGAGATAAAATGCTTAAAAACATTCACTAAAATAACAACACATACCACAATCTATTTGGTCAGTTGTCATGCAGTAGATGTATATATATATATATATATATGTCTATATATATATATACATATATATATATATGTATATATATATATGTATATATATATGTATATATATATATGTATATATATATATGTATATATATTGAATTCGAGTCCATGCGGTGAAAAAAATTTCAGTTAATTTCTGAAACATAAAAATAAAAACAAAAAAAAAACATTGCCAGGTTTTATATATTGTTATAATTCTTAAATAAGTTTTAGTTAATGATAAATATATATGTAAGTTAAGTACAGGACCTGTCTCTTATACACATCTTTCCTGCAAAACAGAAAAACGGGATAGAATAAGAAAAAATCTAGAGTAAAAATATCACTAAAAAATGTGATGTAACAAAATTAAAAACTAGAAAACTCCTAAAGAAAATTATGAAGTAAACTAAAATATGAACAAGTCGACGGCAGTGAGACTTGATACGCAAATTACGTTAACGAATTAATAATTATCCGTTTATTATATTAAACATGTAGAATGACGCCAGTTGTTAATATGCACATCTCGATATGATCTATGCTTGGACAAAATTTGAAGACAATTCAAGTACGGAAAGAGTACAAAAGTAAAACATTTTGTGCAAAAACATGAGAAACTGGAATAGAAAAAAGCCGGTTGTTGCGGGAAAAGCCATAAAATAACTACTTTGTTTTATTTAGATTCCTTACCGCATATTGACAATTCAAAAATGTACAATTAAAGATTAAATATCTCTCTCCCACACCACCCCCTTTTTTCTC